GATCGTGGGGCAGGTGAGGAAATGGGAGAGGATACTGGAGAGGATGGTTTGGGGATGATTATATTTGAGTGAATGAAGGATGGTATGAATTTTATTGAGTGGAATATTCAAATTCTTTATTTGGTTTGCGTATTATCCTTGTGAAATGTAAGCGTATAAATGTATAGAAGTAAAGCTTGAAGATCCTATTGAAAAATAGGTTTTAAATTGTGAAGAATGAAGATGTTTTTTGGAATTCTTTATGGGTTAGTAATGTAATTTATAATGGGAAATGAATGTTTAAACCGCGAGCTGTGTGGTGACGTTAACGACGCCAACGCTGTGACCAAGTTTTCCAAAGATGTTCGGGATCGACCGATAACGAGAAACTCGTGAGCGTTCTCGGTTTCCAGTAATTCCTATTAGCACCTCCCATAAACCTCGAGTTCGTTCATTAAATCCGCTCATGCAGCAGTTTCACCCTTCAATCCGGTCTAACTTATTCGCAACGAGACATATCTAGATTTCCATCCGGTTTCGTGGACGTATTTAGTTCGTGTATTATCAATATTTTTGCACAATGGAATTAATTGTTATGTATCTGTATCTTTATTATATTTCCGAAATTTTCTGTACCTCCCAATGACATTTTACCGCAATTGAACGTTACTTTATTGCAATGAAATATATAAAAGGGTAATAATATACAGAGAAGTTCATAATTTGTTACTATGGTACAAATTAAATTATAATGCAAAAAAATTGAATCATTTTCTGCAAATATTCTTCCAAACTGTTACGTAATTCTAACCTACCACGTATTAGACCTCGTAAGAAAGGGAACTATTACGAAGTCTCGTCTTAACGAATTCCTTAACTTGTTCGAATGCCGCGATATTAATTATTCAGTAACGACAATCCGAGATCGCGTTGTTTTTCTCTGGTTATCGCTAAAGCAGATTAACCAAAGCCCGGAACTTCAGTTAACGCGCGAAGAGGTGTGGGGAGGTCACGACGGAAAGAGGACACCCGATCCTCCTCAGAACATTCCAGGACTAGCTCGAAGACAGTCTCGCGTCGTCGAAGATTAAGCTAAATCCTGTGGACAAAGTGGCTCATTGTCTCGCCCTTATCATGCCAATCGACTTCCTTGTGTACAAACACTAAGCCCCGCGAGAACGTTTACGCTAATTTCGCCCCGTTTCCAACTGGAGACCTTTTTTAGGGACCTCTATCTAATTATGCCGAGACGCTGCGGCTTAGAACCCTTCATTCGCAGACACCATTTAGAAGATGAAGTACCGCGAACCTCAGCTGCGAGTTTCGCAAATTTCAGAATAGTTTAAATTCAAAAATTAAATTTAAAATCGTAGGCGGATTTTATATTTTTATTAAAATTCCATTCACGTCGAAGAGAAAAGAAATCGTTTAGTTTTCTCTGGAATAATTATATTGTAGATACTTACGCAAATTCTCGGTTTCAAATACTAATTAGTGAAAGGAAAGGAATAAATGATGGTTGTGTAGTAATATTTAAAAGCTTCGTGAAGTAACGGTAACGAATAGTTTCTCTTTTCAGATACTATTTATTTACAGCGAATAAAAAATTCTCCCGGCGCCGATAATGCACAGTCCGTCTCTTTATCTGGACCATTTTGTACGATGCTTTAAAACCTCTGGAGGCCGCGATAACCGACAGCTCATTTATTCATTCGGAATCTCTGAACAACATTTCAAAATACCATGTAACCCAGCGATAAGGGCGGATTTTTCGGCACATTCGAAATCCACCGACAACCCTTTGTAAAATCCTAATGCAGACCAAAGAACTTACTGAAAATCTCGCGTTCGAATTAGTCAAGCGTTTTTTAATGAAAATTTCTAATTTCGACAACTTGACCAACATTAATATCAGAAGAAAAATTAACTAATAATATTATCTCATATATTTGAAATTCTAATTATGAGTCTGAGAAGTATTTTTCAATAATATTTGACTATAAATATTTTTTAGAAATCTCTAATAATATCATTGAGAATTTAGATGTGAAAAGAGAATGCTCTTCTAATCATTGAATTAAGGAAAGGACTCCCGGTAACGTTTCGAATTTTCGGTATACCTACCTACTGCGATTCGGTGAGCTTTAACAACGCTTGGCCAATCTTTCAGAAGCAGCGATAATAAGATTTAGGAGAGACATGGGGAAATTCCGGGGGTCCGACCGGGCGGCCGGATTCGACGTCCTACGCGTCTCGATAGAAGGGAAAATCAAACGAGAAGAAAAGGGACGGCCGGTTCCGTTCCTCCCCCTTCCGCGATACTAATAGGAGTGTCACGAGCAGACCGAACCTATAATCCGTTCGCGCTAATTTCAGAAAATACCGGGGACCGTCAGATTTTATAAGCTTATCAGTCTCGCGGTCGAACGACCGCCGCTCTTTCCCCTCGCGATTTTCGTTTTCGGTTTGCTCTGGAAAATCCGATGGCATTTTAAATATACCCTTTCTACTAGTGGACGAAAATGATTTCTATTTCTGTTTGATTGTTATTTATTCAGTTCGTAGTTTAAATTGATAGATACGAGGCAAAATAAATGTCTTTCCACATTACGTATTACGTATCTTCTGCTTGGTCAGTTTCTTTAAACCAAATCTTAAACAGCCAATCCCCGTGAAAAATATAAAGTTACACGTTTCTTCTATACCTAAGGTCTTCAAGGAAATCAACAAGATTCTAATTCATATATACACACAAATATTCCATCATCGAACACTATTTACGTCCCGTAAACAAAATCTAAAAAACAACACACCTCAAACATCCCCCAAGCTTCACTCCACCCTCAAGTTTCATCGAAACCGAGGAAAGTGATTCATTCAACACTCCCACCGAGTTTCTAATCCACTTACAAATACATCATCACAAACATTGCATCATGAGAAACCTTCTTTCACACCCTCCACTTACACCCTCCAAACAGCAGCTTTCTTCAAACATCCCCCAAGCATCGCACAACCCTAAAGTTTCATCAAAATCAAAGACGATGATTCGAACATTCTCGTCGAGTTTCTAATTCACCTATACAAATATCCACGTCTTAGAGGGTCGAGTTCGAAACTGGGCCAACAACCCTGAGTCGCGGCAGGTTCCTGCAAGTCATCCGCGACGACCGGGCAGCCCTGTAATCTCGAAAGTTTTCCCGACTCGATCGCCGAATGGCAGAGAGGGACAGAAGACAGGCTGGTTAATGAAACACGAAATAATTAGACCGAGCAACCCCCGTCGCGCGCACGCGCATCTCTTTCCTCCCCCTCTTTCCTCTTCGCAGATAGTTATATCCGCGGTTAGCGAGTCCAGATCGTTTCCCTGGCCCTTAAGGCGATTAAGATCGGCCCGTTGAGCGCGTAACGATAGGACGGGGAGAGATAATTAAAAAAGTAATGGGTAAGCCGAAACCTGTCCGCCTACGACGACCATGTTTCGGTTATAACGGCTAACATCGCGCGGACTTCCGGGATAAGCTTGCTTTATGACCGGATCACGGGATAAGTGGCCATCTAAGGAAGTTTTTACGCGACACTGGTTCGTTTAGTCCCGATGTCGTTAATTAATTATTGGACGAAGAGATGGGGCACTGGGTGAATGTGTATTTAGTAATGATTTTCGGGGGAGAATGCGACGATTGTGATAGATGGTAAAAATTGATGTTCATTGGATTATTATATTGAATTTCGTTCGTTTTGTTTGAATTTGTATGCTGTTAACTTTATTATCTTCGATTATTATATTACTCCGTACTATTGTCTTATATTATTCTATTCAGAATATCTCTATTATTTTTAACAGTTACCCTAAAGCTCGAGATAGATAGTAAAAATGAATTCCCTCAATTTTGAAGCTGACTCTTCTCGTTAACAGATGCAAGGCAAGAGAATAATGATAAATACTATTTCTCGCCTCACAGTTCCAATTTTTACATTTCCAGGTCGCAAAAATCGAAATAAAGTACCTCGCTTTTTCACATTTATCAAACCCTACTTGAAAGCAACAGCTCCTCAGAACCAACTCTACAGAGAAAAATGAATCCACTTTTAATTCCAACGAATTTTCACGAGCGAACTCCAACTCCCGGCCACAAATAAAACATAAAAACCGCGTTCAGGAGTGCCGGACAATTTTTCGGGGGTAGCACGGACGAATAATTAGTGCAGCCAGTTGCCCGTGGTCGCAAGATTGTAGAACGCGCCGTGTCACGAGCACTTAGCTTCCTCGAGCGACAACAAGATTAATCTCGCTCGAGGGTTCGACCAAAGCCCTTCCTCCGCCCCCTTCAACCCCGTTCAACCCCCTTCAACCCCCGATGGCTGGAGCCACCTCGTCGGTGCGGCGAGAAACTTCGTCTTCCACCACGTCCAATCACGTTCCGCTTTTTCTTCGAACAAGCTGCTTCCTGAATTCCAAAGGCTGACCCCCTCACCCCCTCGCGAAGGAGCCGACGACGACGACGACGACGCCGGCTCGTCCTTGGTGGCTCGTATATATTCGCGGCGGGTATCTGATCGCGATAACGCTGCGAAACGGCCGTTCCGTCGCGGGAAAAACTTCCTGCCGATCGACGAAATTATTTTCAGGGGTTCGCCTAGGTAGGCGGACTTTAAATCAAATCCTCCGCCGAGCCGGATTAGGAATCGGGTCAAACGAAACCTCTAGTGGTTCCGAGAGGAAACGTCGATAGAGGAATTTGCATCTGATTCGAGGCTGCAGCTTCGACTTGTGGGTGGCACAGTGGTATTTCTTTTGTGTTGAATAGGTAACTGGGAATTAAGTAGTTGGGAGATTTGGGGAATAAGTTTATTGTTGCATAGTTGACATAGGTGGCAAGGTTTGGGGCTAGTCTTTTAGATTGAGGAGATTAGTTTCTGTTGAGCGCTGTGTTTTGTGTTTGTTTTGGATTACGGAAATTAGAGAGCTGGAACATTGTGGATCGGTTGAAGTTCAATCTTTGATTGTAATTTTGAATGGGTTAACGTGATTCTTTTTTATTGAGTTATTTGTTTGTTAAAGTGCAGACTTTGAGGTACAGTTTCTAGGTGCCTTTGTTTATTACAAAATATTCGTTCTTTCTAATTAATTCCAGTAATTTTACGTGTACATGTTTCTGACTGGACGGAAGATTTATATGACAGTGTGATCACGATAGAAGTGGCAGGAATAATGATCCATTCTAGCTGTTTTGTTTTAGTGTTCGTTACAATTAATTTGTGCACCTGTATCGTTTCGATATTTTCCTTTCATTTATTTCAATGCGTTCCGTACACAGTGGCCAGTTAAAGTAACGAGACATAATGCTTTTTATAATACGTTTTTTAATAAATATCTAATATTACAGTTTCGTGAGGAACATTCATTAAAATACAAATTCATTGAATCGTTCAACAGAATTTATCGTCACGAAATTCGTATAATAACCAAGAAAACTGGTGGCTCCAGTGCAAACGAGCTCATCAAACAAGTTTGTATTTACAAAATATTATAAAACAACGTTGTAACCCAGAATCTTATCTCTAAACATTCGAAAATTTATTTAAATAATTCTGTATTCATCTTCAAGAATGTTCAAAACATCGTCTAATAGATTCACACTTACATTATATGTTACAAATGATTATCTTAAATTAAATTTCCTGCGAACGAGTCCTGTACAGTCTCTTTCATACACAAGAACCATTTAAGCCCTTGCCTTATAATATCCTGTCAAACTCGGGACAATTTCAAACAACATTTAACGATCGTAATTATTACTCATACCTTTCTGCCACAAATGAGTTATTAATTTATTGTCTGTAAATAATAATCATTTGTCTGTTACCAATTATTGTACTTCAGAACACAAATGTAGACATAGAATGTACCTACAATTTACTTTTTCAAATAAACTACGAATGTTAATGCGCTAGTATCAACCAAAGTTGAGAAAGAAATCACAGGGCAAGGGGTTAAGAATGATTTACATTCTTCTCGCAGCTTGTTAGTTATTAGAAACAATTCCGCATAGAGGCCAAACAACGCGACGCCATCGCCGCGAACATCTGCGATCCGATTGATCAGCAGGAACTCCGCCGCAACGAAGTTTCACGATTTTCGAGGGATGCGCGCCCCTTTCTTCGGCGGCGGCAAGTTCGTTAAGAAGTTCCGCGGCGAAGAAAGCCTCGGCCGGCACGGTAAAATTCTCACGACCACTCCGACGCCCCCCCTCCTGCGCAACGAACTTAACGTCGGGAAGGAAATGGCCGAACGAGTTGGTTAACCTTCGCGCGATCGATCTCGCGTACGACCGGCTGGAAACTACCCTCTCCCCCGTGACCCATTAACGATCGACCGTACTTGTTCAGATTTTTGTTGAGATTTTTTCTTCATTTCGTCGCGTTCAACGGATTTCTGGTCAGTGGATTTAACTAGAAAATCTTCTAGCGGATACTTTTCTTAAGGAAGTTCACGGACTAGTTTCACTCGATTGGATCGAGGTTCATTAAAATTGAAAGTTTGTAAATTTTATTCGTGTATCGAATACGGACGATATTAGAAAAGTAGGGAAAACTTTTATATCGATCACAGTGGGTATTACTGGTTCAGTTTCCTTTTCATTGTATTTATTTGATCTAACGTGATTCAGATTCTATTGTTTGCACACGTAATTAACCTAGCTTATTTTTACATTTGAGACGTGAGTCCAGACCCAACACTGCTCTGAATCAAAATGTACATTATAGAATCCATCGTCGAGTCTTCAACGTGTCAAAACATTTCAGCTTCAAATAAAAAAATACCATCTGACAAAAATAAAACAAAGATCCCATCGAATCTCTAAGTATTCCACAAACCTTCAGATGCCACAGACGCCACAATCTACGTATCCCCACTAGACATTCCAAAAGAAAACCACTGCCAACATCACACGCAAACTCGTACTCAATCAATGCCTCCAATAAATTCTCCACGACACGAAAATACGTCATCGGCAGTGACTGTGTCAGAAAGTCACCAAAAATCGACACCGAAGGCGATCAAATCAGCCTATCATTGAGATAACTTTCAGCCACAACGGAGCCATTCTGCATCTCCTCTTTCTTTCCCAGACTCCTGTGCCTCCTTCTCGGCGGAGTGGGAACATCGGTCTCGTCCTCCATCAAGTCCTCCATGTTTCTATTCAACCTACTCGGCTTCTCGGGCGGTTGGTCCGCAGCCCTCCGTTCCTCGTTCCGATGAGAAACGGTGTTCTTATCTAAATCCTGCGGACGTTCAGTGAATTCCCGATCGTCCTGGTCCTCCAGCGTCTCTTCCCAGGCGCAGAACGAGACCTTCCTGCTGGGGACCGGCTTCCTGCTCCCTAGGATCTGTCCCAGCGACACTGGTCCCTGATCTGTGGATTCCTGCACAGAATCCTCGGAATCGACCGACTTCGTCCCGGCATCATCTATCCTCGAATCATGAACAAGACCCTCCTGTCTCTGGGATACTCCATTGTTCATCCTTCCCTCATCCTTAACTTCCTGGGTCTCCTCTTTCTCCAGCATATCCGACAGCGCAGCCTCCAACTCCGTCAGACTAGGTGTCATCGAGCTCAAATTGCTTTCCTCCGCTGCTTCGTCTTTGAGGACTTTAAGCAGCGTCGAGTGATCAGCGTCCAGGACCTCGGGTTTGGCCCTAGGCTCCGGGCTAGGCGGAGGCGTCTTCGTCTTCTGGTCGTCCAGGTTCTTCCTCAGCTTGTTGTGCGCGTCTTTCACCAGCTTCTCGTCGAAGAAGTCTTCCATCTCCTGTTGCTCCAGCATCTCTCTCGGCAAAGACTCCTCGGAGATGGTCCTGATCAAGCTGCTAGGTCGGTCGGCCAGCTCCTTGGACTCGTACGCGTTCACCTCCGGCTCGCTCTCGTTGGACAAGCTCCTGCGGAAGATCATCCTCGTCTCCTCCGATCGATCGGGCTCCGTCCTGCCTCCGATCGTATCTGGGGAATGGAACGTACGCGGTTTAACCGGTCACGTACGGGAATAGTTGGATCCTTTCGGCGCGGTCCGTGTCGGAAGCGAGTCGGGTATCTTCGGAAGCGGGACGTGGGCCACGTAGGACCGCTAATTTCACTCTTCGGACGGGTTTACGGAGTGCGCACGCGAGCCCGAGATTTACGGCGGACATCGGGGCGTATTGGTCCGTCGGAGGAAGTTTGGAAATACGGGAGAGTTGATTTGTGGTCGCCGTATACATAGATTGGGGTTTCTGGGTATTGTCCGTGCACGGTTTGTGACTCGTTTAAATCGAACTTTCTAAAGCGTTTCCGGTGGTACTGAAAGTGGGAAAGAATTAGTAGAGTTTGGTGAATTCTCTGGGGAATTGAGTTTAGGAGAATATTGAGGTTAGGTGTATTAACGAATTCTCGTTCTTGGAACAGTGGATTGTCTAGTTGGGAGATGTAGAATTTTTCGAGATAATAAACGGTTACTGGTAATCAATGGACTGCGGATCTTTGTGCATTTATGGGAAATTTCGAAGTGCAACATTGCATAGAATGAATACGATAAAGAAGCGTATGACATCTGGAATGTAGTACTTTTCTTAACATCTGTTAGGAACAAATATTCTCTACAGGATTTCCATTTTTTTCATTGTATTCTTAAAAGATTAAATCTGCACGAAGATCTAGTAATCAGTTTTACGGATTTTGTCGAACTAGAGTTCACGAATCGGATCTATTTACCAAGAGCAGAACGATGTTTCGCCTCGTCCAAGTAAAATGGCTCTTTGGAAACGGAAGTCTCGCAGGCGGTCGAACTCCTGCAACTGTTCTCTATTGTAGGTGGATCAAAGTACCTCAAGTGGGCCCTATAGAAGCAATACGTTTACATTTATTCGATTGTAGAAAACAGAGAACTTCCGAATGTTAGTTTAAATAAGAATTTTCTGTGAATATCGCCAATTTACAAATCAGATGGTAAATGTCGTAAAGAAGTATATCTTCTGCGAACTGCAGAGTACACTAGATAAAAATTCTTTATAGTAGAGTCACGCTAAAGATCAGAATATGGGCTAATATCGCTTGGCGTCGCTGCGGCCCAATTAAATTCGGTTAATCTCCCGGACACTGGCCGTGGATTATCTTTACCGACCTATTTGGATCCACTTCAGAATATTCCGGCTCGCCAAATGCCGGGGACGGTGTTTTTCCGAAAGACTCCGGCTTCTGTATGTACACCTTAGCGTCCTCGCGATCAGTCAAATATTTCCGACCAAAATCGACGAGGTCCTCACCCACGTTCTCTTTGAAATCGTCCCCATTACTGATCCTCTGAGAGCCCTGATGAAGAAAATTCCCCGATTTTCGTACCTCTTAGCCAGCTTTAAACGATCCGTTTTATTCCTTAAATTATTACCTCTAAGGATTATGTCTCGTAAAAATCCCCCAAAAATTACGTTAGATTAGTCAAATTCGAACGAAAAATGAAAGACGTATCTTCCTACGTTAATAATTATAGAATTCAATTCTTCCGCCTAAGATTACATATTTTAACTTTCAACTTTCAATGTCAATTAATCTTAAGTTATTAAACAAAATTCCCTTTGATTCTAATTTCAAATTTTCAATTTTCCTAAAATTAAACACGTAATGTTTCCATCAATAATGACAAATATTATCCACAAAAACAAAAATTACAGATCAAATTTGCTAAGAATACTGAGGCCTCAAAACAATCAATTTCATCCACTGTCTTCACTAAAAAATTTAGCCCCCGCAAAATGACATTCGAATATTCTCTCCTCACGCTCCCGTTCCAAGACCCCATTCCATTTAACACGCCAAACATTAGGACAAGGATCGATCCTTTACCTCGACCGAGATCCGCTGGTGGTCACTCGACTCGCAGTCGTCTATGCCAGCGGCCAGCTCCCAATCCTCCGATTTGCTCGGGTCGTACTTAACAAACTTCACTTCACTGTCCTCGTCGACACTTCCGGTCCCGCAGTCCAGCTTCTCTAGGACTTGATACGCTGACAGCTGCTCAGGGCTACCGGGCCTTGGTATGTAGTCCTCTAGCCGCACGCTCGTTTTCTAGAAATTAAAGCAAAGTCGTTGATCTAAAACACTCTCACTAATATTCAACTACTTTTCTCATTTTAATTCTTGAAATTAATATAAGTTTCAGTCCTTCTTATATTAACAGAATCATCAAGACACCTTAAACTTCCAAATGCAACCATAAGTATCAATTTATCGAATCGCCGAAACTGAAAACTGAAATTGCATTTTTAGTATATTTATTTATAACAGTGATTAACCTATTATAATCCTGAATATTACAATCGATATTAGAATCACAAAACTGAGAATACCTTCTTGCTTAATCGAATATTACAATAAATTCACATGAATAACCAAATGGACCAATAACTAATGTTCAAAATCAAACTATCGCTGCAATAGAAACACTGTTTTTCGGTTGCACTTGATAGCAAAAGTAGAATTCTAATCTCTTGGCTAGAGGAATAAAAGGAGGAACCGCGTACCTCCGAGAAGGGCGCGAGGAAAGATCCAGCCGGAAGCGATCCGGTGCTGCTCCTGACGGGTCTTCGGGACTTTGTTCTCTCCCCATCCCCCTCCTGTCCTTTCGTCCCCTTCGTTTGATGCCTGGCCACGTCCAGCTCGTCGTAATTTGGCAGACTGACGGTGCTGTAGTTCTTGGTCCTCGTGTGGCCGTTCGATTTCCCAGTGTCCCTCGAGGTATCCTTGATCTGGCTCCCCGGCACCATCAGCCACCTTTTGTCGTCGCGATTAGGAGTCGACGAGTCCTTGCTCGCCCTGCTGCTCGCGAACCTGTCGTACTCATCTGACTCGTGAGCCTTGCGATGATTTTGATCGGGAACGCAACCGGTTTTCTTGTCTTCGATATGCGACGACCTCTTCCCAGACACCATGTCGCTGGATATTATTCTTCCGGTACCATTAACCTGTACCCGGAAATAGGAATTATTGAATTGTCAAATCAAATTCGGTTACATCGAATATTTTCTTTGTCTTCCTTAATTGAAGGAAGTATTGAGCTATATTTAATCTATCATATTTCTCCATTATTATTTTCAATAGTATCCTATTTTAAATGATTCATTTGCAGCGGATTAAAATCAAAATTACAAAATTTGTATAATTCTATAATTAGGATCATCTAGATCAGATATCCGACATACACAATTCCATCAATTACAATTTCATCGATCACAATTCCCTCGACTCTATCAGTTAAACGTCCAAACAAAACGAGAAAAAGCAACGATAAAATAAACTATACAGAAATATAAACCAAACACGCGTCTTCATGCAAGAGACAAACGACGCGACAAGCAATCCAGAAATATTTCCCGATTTAAAGTCAGCATCGAGCAATAAGAGGAATTATTCCCGCGCCGGTACTCGACATTGACAACAGGAATAATCCCATTCTTCCGAACCGGTAACCAGCCGCATAACAAACACGGATTCCCGGTTCCCGCGTCTCGCCGAGATTCGTAAATATTTTTTAATGTCGCGGATATTTGTTTCACAGATTCGCATCGCGCGGACGTCCATCCCCTCCGCGCCCCGTTTCTCGCGTTCCGCCCTCTATTTGCCCAATCGCGGGGGCGAGTTTTACACGAGTGTAAATATTCTCGTGAATATCGAATTCGAATTTACAATGGAAATACCGGGTCGACGGTCGGCGACGTCGTTCTACTCGCCTTGTGCTCATAAATCTCCTTCGTCTTTCTTCCGTCCCGGTGTTTGTCGTGTCTGATCTCCTCTTCCGCGTCCTGCTCGTCCCCGCTGCTCCTCGGCGACCTCACCGACGAATACAACGGCTCGTCGCCCGTTTCCGCGCGCCTCGAACCCGCATTCTCCGCGACCTCGTCCGGCTTCGGCGGCAACGGCCTGCCCTGGTTCCTCTTCTTCCGGCGCGGCGGAGGAACTGGCGCTGCATCTTTCAGATTCGAGCCTAATGAAGGTGTAAAGAAGAAAGTTGTTATTGTAGATTTTATTTTAACGTGAACCATGTCAGTTAAAGCCTGATAACGACACTTCAGAGCCACCAAAGTTAATACTATTATCTACTCTGCGTCTGCCCCTACAGTGACATATTCTACTTACACGTCACCTTAGATCTGTTCTATTGAGCTGATCAAGAACTTTTCTCTTACGTTTCCACAAGGACAATAACTTATCAATAATCCAATTTCAACGTTAAGAAATTAACCTTCGAACACCCAACTCCAACGCAAACCACGTACACACATCATTATTACATTACTATTGTTATATTATTACATTATCATCGTTAAATTTCTATATTACTATTATTACATTCCCATACCATTATCACTGTAATTACGATCATGTTACCATATCATTATAAAGCCAATAAACCAACACCGAGTTCCCCGTGCCAGAACGCGCCAGCCGAAGTCGCGCATTCAGAAATTCCGTCGGCCGAAAACTTTCCCGTCGCGTTGACGGCACGCGCTCGCGTTTTTGCTCTCATTCCCGTCGGCGGTAAAGCCTGAAAACCGCTTATTTACAAAACACGGACAAATACGGCCGTGCATCCCGGCGTAGTCGTCGTCGTTGTCGTCGTCGACGCGAGCACGGGGTCACGGCCTTATCAGCTGGCACGTCGGAACGAGGCATGTTCTCGTTAAGGATACAGCTTGCAGTACGAGCTAACGATAAATTGTGAGCTTACAGCTGGACGTCGGCGTGGTGGCGGGATAGAGGCTCGTGTCGACGGTTAAATTCGTGAGGGCCGAGCCGGGCCTCGGCGTGCTCGGCACTTCGAGGTTCACGTCGACCCACTCGCTCGGATGAAAAGGCCTGTCCACGGAATCTATGCTCCTGCCCCTCGTGAGCACCTCCCTTGGCGGCGAACCAGCGTACCCGATCTCCGAGCTGCAAAATTAACGCGGAATGCATCGCCGTGAGTAAACTCGCAGTGTAATATCGTTAAATTTTCTTTCCCTTCCGTTCTGTTTCTCATGTCTGGATGAACGGGCGTCTTTTTCTTTTTGTTTCCAACGGACGTGGGAATTATAAATGTTTAAACTCGTTCGAAAGTTTCAGGTTCGATTAGATGCGGTAGTTAATTTGAGAGTGGAGCAAGGGTTCGTGTAAATAAGAGGTTCCGGCGATGTTATTAACCTTTGTTTGAATTAGATCGGAAGTTTTGGGCTTGATGTACAGTAGTTATTTTGAAAAGTTGAGCGAAACAGTTTGGAATAAAATGGGTTCGGTGGGTTCGGGAGTTGGTGAATCTATGATAGAGGCGTATGGAGCTGTATGGTTTCTAGCGAGATTCGATTGGTAGAGAGTTTAAGGTTTGAAATTAGCGGAATGGTGTTCGAAAGAAGCACTTCGTATCCTGACTATAGGAACAATCAACTCCGAAAAGTCCTCTATTCGAAAAATTCGAGGGAGCTGTTATCTTTTATACGTATTCCGCAGGAAATCCAATCTAGAGCCTTCGATTTGTGATATTTCCCTCTACACGCCGAATTTTTAACTTCTGCTAAACCTTTGATACCTAACCTGTAATTGGCTTCGCTGAAAAAGAATCCTTTCGTCGCTCAATTCAACGTATATCGAACGAAAAAAAGGATTTTCCTTTGTACGGAATAGCAATTTGAAATCGTGCATTAACGCCGCAAAAAAATTGTTTAATCATGATCATACGATTCGTTCGACGCGAAAAATTGGAGCAAAACGAGTTTCTGGATTCTCCGTTGCTATTAATGCGTGATTACGTTGATTACTCGTTCAAAGATTCCAAACAGAATGTGAACGTAATTACTCAATTTATTAAAATTCAAATTAAATATTATTAAAAAATATATAAAACCTTGAATATACAACTCTTTTAATACTATTCATTACCAAAAATCTTTCCCTATTCTAAGTTCATTTTCCTAATAATATTATTAAAAATTTGAATTCGATGAAAGGTCCACAGTCTAGTTACCAACCATTACACTTCAGACCAAACACAGATACAGAACATCCGTAAAATTTTCGCCTTTTCAATAAATTCTTAACGACGAAGTAGCTGCATCGATCGCAGCTGAGAAAGAAATCGCAGGTCAAGGGGTCAAATGCAAAACGCGAAGCAATTTTCCTCGCTGGCTCGTTGCGCTGCGGGTGGGTTCGCGGGACCCGAGCCCGCTTCCGGCCCGATCCGGCCGCGGTTTCTGTATTTCGAAAATTTTCCGGCGTTGACCCCGGGGCCGAAAATTATTTGGCATCGCTACAATGCGGCTCTATTATACGGTTACTCGCAAATGCATGCCGTGTTTCTTCGTGTCCCCCGAGCCATAACTCTTCGGAGACGCGGAACGTTGCTGGAATTTCTGCCGCTACCTACAGTCTCTTCCTTTTATACGAAAGTTCCTTTTAACTTCTCGTAGAACGCCCCCGACGCACGCGAACGATTCGAGAATATCGACGAAAAATCGTGGAATTCCATCGATTAACTTCTTCCTTTTTTCTCAATCCTATCCCGTGCTCGAGGAATTCTTTCTTCCGTTCGGAGAATCGTAGCACACTGCGAAAAAGATGGTCAAAATAAAAACGACGCTTGAATTCCTTGTCCTTGTGTTTCAGCTGCTTCGCTGTTTGCTTCTTTGTTCTCCCTCGACCATTCGTCTTTCAGTCTTTTACGTTTTATCGTTTCCTCCGGGAACTGCTTAACACTCTCGATTTCGAAATTAATTCGAATTCTGGTGTGGACGATAATGTTTAAAGAATCTAATAGAATATTAATCAACGTGAACATCGAATAAATCGAATCTAAATACCACAGAAAGTGTATACAATAAACGACGAAAGACCAATATGTTCCTCAATGTCAACTATCTAAAAGCTCTATATCAAATTCACTATTTTATAAGAAATTTCGAACTCCGACAACCTCCCTCCACGAAGTATAAACCTAACAGAGTCGCACGGAAACAGTTCATCGATCCATCGATCGTTTCCAATGGTTGCCACTAGCCTACTGGGTTCCTCTAACTCGGCGAGGAGAGTTTGCCGAACGATGCTCCGCTTATCGGTGCACGCCGCCGCGTAAATTAGGTCGCGACGGATCGCATCAGGCCGACTTAACGCCGGCGCATAAATAGAGCGCACGTGTCGCGCGGACGTGCGTGTGCTAACCCTGTCGATCCACCAATCGCGCGACCGCTACATGTTGATACACCAAACAGGGATCGTTTATGCGCATGGAGTAGCATAATAATCGGTTAGGCGGGCATTACTGGGATCAGGGGTGTATCGTGCACCTGATTCGAGACCGATAGTTGCCATATTGCGTTTTCTAGCCAACGAGTGTCTACCGAGATTTCGTTTAAAATCGGCCCCAATGATAACGTTCGTTGAAAAACGCGGAAAACTCTTGAAATTAGAAGCCCGCGAATGTAAATAGCGGGCTCCGCATTTGAATTTCAGATGAGGTTGATTAATTAGACTCGAATTTTAGAGCCGGCGTCGGGGTAATTGATAGGATTGAGATTTTAATTTGGGATAACGCTAATTAATAGGTTCGAGACTTCGATTCGTCTCGGAGGAACGAGGATTCCGAAGTTTATTTGTTTTATTTGAACGATTTGTTGTTGCTTTTAGCGCTTTTGTGAGATGGTAGCGTGGGATTTTTTTTAAATTACAGTATTTATTGGATCGTTCTATATTGTACTTTTTTGGATGATATATTATTGATGTTTTAGAAATAAAAAGAAGGTATTATATATTACAATAGCTAAGACAATATAAGTTTATTGATATAATTTTAATAAATCAGGTGTTAGAGGAAGTATTATAATCAATATCATCTCAAGAAATCAAGTATTACAAAAACTATTAATTTAGCTATCACAGAAAGTATCCAAATCAATGTAATTCTACCAATACTCAATCCCAAAAGTAGAATTCACTCAAATTATTTCCAATCTAAAGTTAATTTATATATATAACAAGCTAAAGTTAGATTCCGCTGAAAAACTCGAGCAGAGGAGATTGCGAAAGAGTTGAAAGAGGCGTCGAAGACCGGAATGAAGTCGAGAACGAAATTGATTACGGCGAGTAAATACACACGCTTGTTACGCAGCTGTCCGCCGTGTTGGATGTTTCAAAAATTACGGTGCCCTATAAACACGGGTGCGTCGCAACAATTTCAATTCCGCGCTGGCCGAGCGGTTCATTCGAGGTGGCAACGTTACTCGGCTGCATATCGTGACACGTAACGAGACACCGGAGGAATTCCGGTGTAATAACTGCGCGAAAGATCTATGCGTAGATAACTACGCTCGCTCGCTCGCGGATCGCTTCTGGCTCGCACGCACGTGAGCTAAGATTATTGCGCGGCGCGCCGTCGAAAATCCATTTGACCGGCGCATTAATCAATGCGCTACCGGAAACGTCGCTGGGTACAAGTGGAAAAGGAAATTAGTTTTTCTAAGATAAAGAGTTGACCGATTAATCTTTCTTAAGTATCAATTCATAACGCGACCTACGGAACGATATTCGTTTTACGTTTTGAGTACAGTATGTCTACAGTGGAAGATTAATTTTTCTGTCGATTTTTTAATGGTTTATCATTTTTTTATTATTTCTACTTTTATTCTTCGTTAGTCGTTTCTCTTTTATCTTCGTTTGACACTCTGCCCGGTTGCCGGATAGTTTTATGATACACCGGTATCATTTCAATCGTGATTTAGTCAGCGAACAAATTTTGAAATTTATTATTTTTAAATTGGTAGTGGATGTTTTCAGGACACCTGATGCATACATTGTATCGTAACACGCAGACTTTATTTATATCGCCAACCGGAAAATGAATTTCGTTTTATTTGCGTCCGTGATGTTTTTAGGACACCTGATGTATGTTACATAGAGTTTCACAATATTAAGATGTAACTTGAATTGTAATTTCGTCGTAGAATAGTAATGAAAACGGATTTACGACATCCGTAAATTACTTTCTTCGCAGCTATCATATAATATTTTTAGAACAGCAGTCTCTTATACAGTGTGTCTCGTGATATGCATAACTTTTCGCTGTAAATTGGTCGGAGAAAAATAATAGAAAGCCACTGTCTTGCTTTTTCATAGGAACTACCGCTTATAATGTTCCTTAAGAGATCAAAATCGGCTTACGGTTCACGCAAATCAATATTGCATAATAAGCAATAATTACGCGTAACTTTGCAGTAACAATATTTACGCGACTGTATTTGAAGAATACGCGGTACACGGCTTTCGGGAGATCGTAAGGAACGCCGGAAAATCTCGATAACAGAAATCTTTTTCTTTCCTCTCGGAAAGAGAAACACGCAAATCGTATTGGCAGCAATCGAATAAAACGCCGCTGGGGAAAAAGGAACGGGACAAAATAAAACGCGGAGGCAAGGAGAAAGTCGAACGTGGGCGAAGCGTAGCGATGAAATTAGAAAAATCGGGGTTCCTCCGCAGAGGAAAATGACGGTGAAAAATCGGAAGGTGTCGGTCAGAGAAAAACGGCCGCGATTTGCAAATGCGTGCAACGGAACTTCGAATATTTCACCTGCGAAACGGAATTTTCGAAATTTCACGCTGCTGGAAACGAATTTCTGTTCTTCTGGTAGAATCGAATTTAGAAATCAAAAAGCGAGAAGCGCATTTATAATTCGCATTAAATTAGAGCGAATAAGTATTTCTGAGTTTTCGAGAGAAACAAAGCTTTGTGAAATGTTTTCGGATTAATTAAGTATTAATATCGTAATTATTGATATTGATACTATTAGAAATCAATCCTATTAATAGTATCAGGAATTAATATTGTTAATAACATTTCTGAATTTTCGAGATAAAAGAACTTTGGTGAAATGTTGTTGGATTAATTAAATACGAATATTACAATGCTTAAT